GAGTGAAACCACCAGGTCGGACACCAGTTTATACGCTGAAACCAAACCCATACCCCAAGCAAGTCTTGCTATGCGCTTGGTAAAGTATGGTTGGCTTATTTCCCTTTGGGCCGCTAAAGGAAGAGCAGACCGTAACAGCAGACGTCTGTAGTCAACAATAAGAACGATCGAACCACTCTTGCTGGTAAACACCACTCGCGTTAATCAATGGAAAAGGAGTCATTCTGCTGCATGACAACGCGAGACTGCATTTAGCCAGACGGGCCCAGGACTAGATCCAAGGTGGGAGCTTTTGCCCCAACCACCCTATTCACCTGATTGTGAGCCAACTGATTTTCGTTTGTTCAGACTCCTACAGAACTTCCTGTGCGGGAAAACTTGCCAAAAATTTGGCAATGACAAAACGGGACTCTTAGAATCCTCTGCGCCAAAATAAACTTCCTTTTATTGAAAGTATTCAAAGCGTAATTTCAAGACGGACAACAGAAATCGATAACGGTGGCGATTATGTAACTGGTCTAAAAATAAGACATTTTCCGGTAAGCGCTTTGCGTGTCATTTACTAAAAAAACGACATCCTAAATATTATTTGCCCTTGACATTCTCCGTGGGGTTTTATGACAAGCATGGAAATGGCATCAGTTCGTTGACTTAACTTTTGATAAGCACTTTACACAGACTGGCAAAGGGGAGGGAGCCGTGGTGATAATTTAATAAAGAGGAAGTGCTCACCAGAACAGATTGAAGAGGTGATGTAGCATAGAGCTTTGTCAGCCCACACTTGTCAAGGCCTTAAGTGCACCAACTTGGATAGAAACGCAAATGGCATGCGGAGCTAGGCCGCCTTGGATTGATCGATTTCTTTTTCTTTCGAAACCCCGGTCTTTCGGTAAATGTTTGGCGGGTTGACAGCTGCGTGTGCTGAGTCACCACGTCGGCGAAGGGTGGCTGAGCCTATGTGAGGGGGTTGTTCGGTCTGGGGTAATCGTTCGCTCCCCTGGCCGGTGCATTCGTCATCGGACCGTGTCTGAGCGGTTTTCTTAAGATCTCGATGATTTGACCTAATCTTTGTAGCGTGTAGGGGTGTCCAGCTGTGGGTCCACGTGATGGTCGTAGTGGTCGCTCACCTGCTTGCAGGTGAGACTACGCCTAGCGTCCATTTGCTGGCACCTAACTCTCACCTGTGGCTCGACGTAGCTGGGCTCTGCTCAGCGGCCACACCCCGGGCAACCGTTTCGACCGGCGGGCTAAACCAGGTGAGGGTATCCGTGCGTGCACCTGCACGCGCTGTACTGTGGTCTGCGCTGGCCGGATGGATCTTCGCGACGACATCGTCGAGACGGGGCTCTGCCTTGACCATCGCAGGAGGCCACCAGGTAAGTTCTTCTTCAGGTAAGTGCATTTGCTCTGCTTGCTCCTTTGGTCTGTTGAAGTTCCGAGTCGTATGCTGCTCTTGCTACCTGCCCTCTATATGCTAGTCTGTCTATTAATAGCTAGATGACACACTTGATGACTGCTGCGACTGTCTGTCTGTCAGTCTATACCTCTCCCCTAATAGCTAGGTGTTACGGTGATTGACTTTGAGTGGTGCCCTCACTTCTGTCTCTGACTGATGACTGTGTCTGTCTGCCCACTCTAGCTAGCTGTAAGCCCCATAGCGTTTGGTTGAGTGTGTGGTCTCTCCTACTTCACATCATCACCACCACCAAGGTCCCAGGCTAATTCGGGTCCTTCTCTCACTAACAAAATGTCGTGGCCCATAGTGGAGTCCGGCAGCCGTCTGGGATAACCGGGCAGCCCTGTTCAGGGATGCG